AATTAATAAATAATTTTACTAACTAGTATATTTTTAATCTTTACTATTTTATTTTATTTTATTTTTTTTATTTTTTTATTTTTTTTTAAACTAGCTTCTTTTGAAACTAAGACTTTTTATTCAGTAGTTAGAATATAGAGACTCATGGCCAAGGCCTCAAAAGAGTCTCTTTATATTAGAGAGTACAACTAGTCACACATATACTTTTGGTGTCTAATTAAGTAGTTTGCTAATGGTTCTATACTAGCTGCCATACCTGCAACTCAACTAAAGATATTGTCTATTTAAATCCTCTGTATTGCAATTCTTACTATATCACTAGATTATCTTTACTACATAAGTCAGTTGAGAAGGTTTAGATACTTACTTGTATTCTTAAAACCTCATACCTTATTTTATGCAGTGTATCCTCAGAAGTATTATTACTAGAATCTTTCATGTCCCACACACAGCTAATCTAGTTTTATGTAACATGCTATAGTTACCTAATACTTGCAGTTAGGACTAATCTTAAACTGCTATATTACACTATTTCTATCTTTATAAAGTTTATTCAAATCCCAGTACCTATTTTTCTAATATCTTCTTCATCATCCTTTATTAACTGCAACTCAGAACCAACAGATTCTCTAGATTTTTAATTCAGATGGCCTAGTATGATATACCTTAATATACTTTTCTCTAATGATGTTGCTGATCTGGTTGATCATATGTTTCTCTATATATTTTGATATTCTGTTTATCTGCCTGTTTTTATGAAGGTGTTTCATAAGCTTTCATCAGTCTAACAGCATTATTGAAAGTTTGTACTACTTTTTTACTCAAGAATTTCCAAGTGAGATTCTGTTTCCTCAGTTTCTTAGTCTTCTATACCTGATGATCTTATCATAGGTTTGCACCAAAGTCTTATACAATACCTGTTATTAACATTTCTCTATATATATATACTATGTAATATTATATTTCATATAGATGCTCTGAACTCCCAATAACAAGTAAAACTTGATTTAATGTATCTGGATTACAGCTACATGAGACCAACTGATTGACAAAAGACAGTTTTGTAATACAGGTTAATTTTCAAATTTCATCATAGGTGAGATTTGAATCTTAGACCTGCCACTTGAAGGATAACAACCCAACCACTATACTAGGATCACCATCCTCTCTTTTTTTTAATTATATTTATTATTATTTTCTATATTTTAATATTTTTTAAATTTTTTTTTATAACAAATATTATTAGATTAGCAATACCTTATAGTAAAATAGTAATTAAATACATCTTTAACTACAATATTATTTATATTTTTATTTAACAAATTCTTATAAAACTTATAAAATTATTTATAAAATATTATATTTGTAAAATTAAGTTTAATAATATAATAATTAAATGCATATTTAACTACAATATTACTTATAGTTTTATTTAACTAATATTGGCAGATTTTTTATAAAACTTATAAAATTATTTGTAAAATATTATATACTTGTAAAATTAAGTTTAAAGTTGTTTTGTATAAAGCATAAATCTTAATAAAAAATTAGTAACAAAAGTGCTTAAGTAAAAAAATATTAGTAGTTTGTTATTAGTTAATAAATAAATTAAATAAATATATACTTACCTATTTTGCAAAATAATATAACGCTTATTTTACAAAATAATGTAATGTAACTTAAATTAATTTTGGTCTTAATTTTGTATTAAGTTTGTATTTTTTTAAAACTTATTATTTGATTAACTAGTTGTTATAAAACAATTAATAAATTTTGTATAACATTAAATAGTTTTTTCTGTTCAAAAAAGTACAAAAATTTTTAAAGTATATTTAGGCGTATTAAAAAAATAGGTGCAGGAGTATCAAAAATGTATGTTTTGCATCAGAAATTGTCAAAAATTTGAATATCAAATTGAAATAATCTATTTAGATAACATAAAAAATTTTTAAAAATTTTGAGCATTACGAATTTAAAATAAAATTTAGGCTATGTTACATGACTATTAACGACTCGAGTTTTTGCAATTTTGCATTGAGACCCTAGTGTTACCTTTGTGTTACCAGCTTAAAAAATTTTGCTAAAAAAGTTCACAGTTAAATTAAGGTCAGGGTTTGTTATTAAGTTAAATTAGAAAAGGCATACTTAACACCAAAATTTCACAAGGAAGACTTTTTATTAATGTGCAGAAAGCAATTTCATAAGTTAATATTGAGTTATGAACGATTTTGGGGGATGTTTTAATTTTTTTGCGTTTTTTCATGTTACACCGGATCTTGAAATCTTATTGGCTGGCGAAAAGTAGCGAAATTTTTTTAGGGTGATGTTGGGGTCATTTTGCTAATTATTTCACGTGAGTAAAAACGATTTTAAACCAAAAATTTGGATTTGGATTTTGTGTAAATATTTTGTTGGTCCTGATTACTGTATATCACAAGTGACGTCACGACATTTTTTTATGGGCGATTCTAGGGTTGTTAGGATGGCTTAAACTCGATGCTATATAATAATGGATATACGGTTGACATGGTGTGGCTAGCTATAAGAACAACCTTTTCTGCATATAATGCAAAAATGAAATGAAACAACTTACTTTTATAAGAATTCGTTAAAAACAAGCGTTACTTTCGGTATTTCCTATACATCTAGCATTGCTGGTAGACTAATTACTTATCGTTATTCGTAAAAAATCAAATCACATCATGCGATAATTTACTAAATTATATACTTACAAACCAATAGGAAGACTTTCGTATGATTGGCTTTTTAAACCAATTTAATTTTACATTATTTATACGGTTTAAAGTACTTTTTGAAAAAAATAAACCTAAGAAAAACGAAAAAGGAGTATTTGGAAGGTTTTATTAGGGTTGTAGGACTCCACTATTAAAAATAATCAAAATTCCTTTTTATTTTAGAGAAGTTAGCATGATAATAACCTAATTCTATCTATCTTTAAGAAGTCACTATTATGCAAACTTCTCTAAAACCAGAAATGATTTTGATTATTTTTTAACTGTTGAGTCCTACAACCCTAATAAAACTTTTTATCTTTATCTTTTTTGTTTATTCTTTGTAGTTTTATTTTTTTACAAAAGTACTTTAAACTGTATAATAATGTAAAATTAAAATGATTTAAACAGTCAATCATACGAAAGTTTTCCTATGGACTTACAACTAATAACATTCCAAGAGAAGAAGACCTTTCCATGGTGTACTAAATTCAGGCGATGTCCGACTCCCACCCCATGTAATGACAATAAATCTTAATACCCAGTAAGAATTTTAATTAATCAAAAGTATAATAATCATTAACGATTAAGTAAACTATGACTAATATAAAAAAAAGTATAAATGATAAATAAATTATATGATTATTGAAGTCCTAAAATGTAAAAGAGTAAAGGAATATGAGAAATAAAGCTCGAAAAAAAGATTAGCTTCTATCCTTCTATTACATTTGAAGAACAATAAATTATCGAAGTAACAAATCAACAAGAACAATTAAATTACCGAAGTAAATATTATTGGGAAAAGAAAATATGAACTCAAGTGATGAACGTAATATAGAAATATGCTATTTTAAAATTAATATGTATTCTAATACTCGGTACTAAAAATTTTTTATTTTCAAATTTAAGAACCTAATAAGTAAGGCACCCAGCCTTATCGTTATGAAACGTCCCGTTTTATTATTAAGTAAATACGTACCTTGCCCATCTCTAATTGCAGGTGACTTGCGAATGACAAAAACAGCCAATCAAAAGACGAATATCGTATTGTCATTTAATAATGAATACGTATTACCGTTACGTTATCTTATGATAAGAATGATATTATAGCAGTAAAAGGGTAATCTTACAATGAAATATTTAAGTTTTCGTTTTTTTGTTTAAATAAATACAATGTTTCAATAAACAGATTCTATGCACGCGGTAGTAAACATTTGGAATCATTCAAATAGAATTAATTGAACTTCAATGCAAATTAATTTCTGCACGTTTTTTAATTTTAATTAATTTCTACCACATGTATTTTTATGCCACATGGATGCCAATTATGTTACGTAATAAATTCTCGTGAATTTGTATTTAAAGAATTTTTTTATAAATTTCGGTTAAAAAGCTCGTGAATGCCTATTGCCATTTCTTCCCATTTACAATTCTAGTCTATTCATTTACTGCATTAAAAAAACCTTCCTTTATTGTTAATGTTCATTACAGTAATATCGATTTCTAGACTATAAAGTTCAAGGAAACCGATTCTAATTTCGAAGGAAATAGAAATTAATTTTATTGGCCAATCGACCTAAAGGTGTACAATATGTAAAAATACCTTTAAAATAAATCCACGCAACTTATCTAAAATCATACGATAAATGTAAACTGTAGTTCGACTGACGCTTTATGTGAAGAACGGTTTCCATTCAGTTTAGTGAGCTGATAAAGTATATGATGATTCGGTTTTTTTTTTATGATAATTACATTGAAGAATCCTTACGTATGTACAGTAAATTTACATAACTTCATATATATATTTATTATTTATTTGTTCATATTTTTATATTGCTACATTTCTTTTGTAATAGAAATGGGAATGAGTGCTTTATATGCTATGAAAATTAACGCCAAACCATTAAAAACTATCTTTAAGAATAAATGCATGTAATTTCCTCAGAACGATTTAATACCTTAATTTCTAATTAGTAATGTTATTGCATAACTATTGGCTATCCTTTATGTTTACCATATTTTTAAGGCACAAAAGATGTTAGTGATATCAACACAATGTTTTAATAGAACTAAATCCGTATTGCGTCAAAAAAAATAACATAAAAAAGTAAATCCATATTGCTAAAAATTGTTCAATCCGTCCTTTTTTTTTTCTTTTTCTTAAATAAATATTATAAGAATTTTTTTTTTGGTTTTTTTTTTTTTTTTTTTTGATTTTCCCTCCTTTTTTTTGGTTTTTTTTTTTTTTTTTTTTTATGATAATTAAGGTTAAGGTCCTAATACCAAAAGTGGTCGCCCTCTTCCATCCGAATTAAAGTCATTTACAAATTCTTCAGTCAAAAATATGCTTCGTCCAAAAAAGAACTCTTGCAATGAAGCACACCCACAACAAATCATCAATATATCATCTCTTGATAAACTTGGACAATTTCGAATTCTCAATTTTTCCAACCTACGTAAACACATAAGTTCAGAGGCGATAACCTTTTTAGAAAGTATATGGAAAAGAAAGATTAATATTTTCAAAATTTTTTTTTTTAAGATATATATATTTTTTTCCAAGATTTTTTAAAGAATTTAAATAAAAAAAAAAATTAAAAAAAAAACCTGTTTAGGAATATCTTCAGTACTTGCTAAATAAAATTCCCTTAATTCTATGCAATTCTTAACAATAGTATCTAACCCAGTAACAGTAAAATCACTTGATGTAAATAAACATAATTTCCTAAGTTTAGTACAGTGTTTAATACCACTAATCACAGTTTTCTCCGTAAGACCTTCACAATTTGAAATTTGTAATGAAGTAAGTGTATCAAAAATATTAAATAACAAACAAATGACTGAATCATCATTAATTTTCATTAGGTCAAAAATACATAAATCATTAATCGGAGGTCTAGTTTGAGCGATTGTAAAAAGAGATGAATCAGTAAAATTACAATTGTAAAGGTGAAGACATGTAAGTGTTGAAGCATATCTAATTGCCAACATGCTTAAAGTCACATCAGTGATAAGTGGTGTTGAATGTTGAAAAGTAATTTTACTAAGTGTTCTCAAACGTTCTGACATATATAAAAAACCATCATTAGAAAATCCTCCACCTGTTCGATTTAAAGAGATTTGAATGGATTCCAAATGATAAGAATAATTTGCTAACGCGATCAAAGTGATATTAGTCACTCCCTCACATGGTTCTAATCCCAGATGACGTAAATTAGTACACCTGCTAGCGACATGAGTAAGTGATAAGTCGGTAATATGTTGAGGATTGTGAAGGATAAGAGATTCTAGATTTAAATTCATATTATTAGCCATTTGGATGATAGTAGTATCTTCAAGTGTTCCACAATCCCAAATATGTAGATTTTTCAATCTGGAACAACCCTGTGTTATAAGAACGAGAGTTTCATTTGTAATACTGTTTCCAAAAAATATTTCAAGAGTATTAAGATGTTTCATACGAGCTAGTTGAAGTAACGAACGATTCGTAATGCCGATACAATCTCCAAAAGCAAAATATTCTAAGCGGTTACATCGATTTATAATATTTATAACGGATTCATCAGTAATATAAGGAAGATTTAATAACTTGAGTGAACGTAAATTAGAACACCGCTCAGAGACTCTAGATAAAGTTTCATTCCTTAGCTTTTGACAATTTGAAAAATCAATATTCTTCAGGACACCACAACATTCGGATATAAGACTTAGTTCACCAGCAGAACAAGAAAATGAAAGACGAGATAGGTCGAGAGTATGAACTAAACAACCATAAGCGTAAATAGTACAATTCTGTTGAGATCTCACCAAAGTTCTAATAAATTTTTCAAGTGTTGAAGCGCGTTTCAAACGTGGTGCTTTCCAAAGATAGGGGGTAGCACAAGTATTCCATAAACGAGATACTAAACAACAAGAGACCAAATTAGATTGTTGCTCAAGTAAGTGAGATATGATTTCACATATCATGTAAGCATTATCCGATAAAGGGGTCCATAGAGGATTTTGAACATTTGAAAGGCATGTAACAAAAGAAGTCATTCGATAGCTTTTTTGATTATGAAGAAAGTAAAAATATACAATAAAATAGAAATAAAATCAAAGAATTAACCGAGAATCTAACAAATAAAGAGAGAAAAAGAACGTGAAGATAATAACGATTTGGGAAAGGTATAATCCAACTAAAAAAGAGTCAATCAAATTCTTTCTTATCAAATACTAATTGGCGCAAATAGTGACACAAGGTTTTCCAAAAAGGACTCAGTCTAGCAGACAGCGCCACAATTACGATAAGAAAAATGTAATGTTGCAGTAGTCCAAAAATTATGTGCAGTAAACAGCGACACAGAATCACAGAAACAAGAACAGGGTTTTTTTTGTGGAGTGGAAGGTAATTGTGTAGTGTGACTAATAAGACAGAATTTCTAAACTTTAATACTTGGAACGTCGATTCTATTTGAATAAGACCAGAATTTCTCCGTTTTTCTGGAATCTAACTTTAGAAACAACAACGACAATTTGGGTTCAGCCATCAAACATGAGTACATATAAATAAACAAAAGACATTTACCTGGATACGCACCAATAATATTTATTTTAATTAACGCTCACTTTTAATTTGTTCTTATTAAAGATTTAAAATTCTGAATTATTATTGTTTATAAGATTACTCTATCAAGATTACTATTGCTAAACGAAATTACGAAACTTGTATTTCCCGAGGAGTTTATCTAATATTCATCAAAAATATTCATCAAAAGTATTCATCAAAAATATTCTTAAGAAATTCATAAGAAATTCATAAAGCAATATTTCGTTAAGGTACGGTAGATACAGTCAGTATACGTATACGGTACAAACATGCATGACCTCAAACCTAAATGTATGTATATATCAATGTCAGATATGTACAAGAGAATTCAAAACAGGACCTTTTAATCAATCGATTTGTTACCTGAATATTGAAAACAAATTAGGACCAAGCGCCTGGGTTTAGGCCTAATCAAAAAAAATTGTACTATATATAGTAATCTTTAAATATTTGATATAGATAAAAATAAATTTCGCTTATTTACGAAAATATTTTATTCCTTTCTTGGTTTTCAAAAGAATTTACTAGGATTTATTCAATAATTTCGATCAAAAATTATGTTACCAAATTTTTTTTTTTTTAACAAAGAGTAACTTGAATGCATTTATCTGCAACCTCCAACAATACTTAATATTATCATCATGCATCATGCACAATAATTTTTAAAATTAATCCATTTAACGTTTATGTAACATAACAGTACACTACTTCAATTTTTTATAAGAAAAAAAAAAAAAACAAATAAAGTAAAATCGATGTGACATTTTATTTCCATTATTAATCAATCATTTAAAAAAAAAAATCTGTCATTATTCGAATAATTATTACGTATTCAAAAATAATTATTATGTATTCAAAAAAAAAGAATAATTATTACGTATTCGAATCTTAATTATTCGAAAATTATCAAAATTAATCATATTAAATTCGACCAAACAATTTTTTTTTTCAAAAGTTTTTTTTTTTTTTTTTTTTAAACAGAAAATATAATACCATAATTTGGAATTAAACTATTCTTAATATCATCAATATTCAATTCCTCATAAATTCCCTCAAATTCAACTTTTTGATTTTCCATATCCCAATCTAAACCACCAAAAACCACCAATTTTTTAAATTTACATAAAGTAATTAACTTAAATTCTTCTAAAATATTCTTTCTTATTCCAAATTTTGTTCCTATATGTAACCATTGTAAAGTTGATGGTAAATGATTTGCTAATTTTGTTAAAAATTCGGAAAAAATTGAACATTTTTGCTTAGAATCTAAAGAATAAGAAATTTCAGTAATAACCAATTTTTTTAATTGATCTAAATTAATAAGTGTTGTAAATAAATTTTCTTGAGTATTTGAATAAACATAAGTTGATAAAGAAGTTAAATTTTTACATAATTTTATATTATGTAATAATTCTAAATGATTAAAAAGATCGGATTCTAAAAAATGAAATTTTCTTGGATCAAATGTTATAAGGTTTAATTTAAAATGAGGTTTTCCAGTATCCAATTCCACCAAACTATCTTTTGTAGATTCTAATAAAGTTATTAAGGCATTTGGTGAAGTATAACCATAGATATATTTTAAATGTTTAAGATTAGAAAGGACAAGTTTTGATGATGTTTGTTCAGAAACATTAATACATTGATTAAATGTTAAAGCTTCCAAGTTTGGTAAATCGGAAAGAAGGTGCAACCAAATAATGTTTTGAAAATCACAATGATGAAAAGAAAGTTCTCTCATTGAATATTGTTGAGTTGATACTAAAGAAGTAATTATATCTAAAATTCCTAATTTACAATTCCAAAGTATAAATTCTCGTAAGTATCTTTGAACTCTGATAAGATTTGATAATTTTTGAGATTCTATTATAGCTGGATTTTCTTTATTATCATTAATAGTTGATGATAAATGTGTTGGATTACATGAAGAAACTTCAATCTTACGTAGTTGATGACATATTTCGGAAAGTATATCAAAAGAAGTTCCTCGATAGAAATTACTTCGACTTTCAAAACTTTTTAAATGACTAAAACATTCGTGAAGTCTTGGATATTTTAAAACTATTTCTGTATAATTATTAATAGAACTAGATCCGATAAGAGTTGACGTTGATTGTAAATGGTTAATATTAGGGCATTGTTCTATTATCAACTTTGTAAGAGTATGATGAATTATTTCAGATTTCAATAATACATCAGTTGTATAAAAATCATCACCCATAGGAGGAACTACTGAAGCATGAGCGACTTGAGCGATTTCTGTGGCTATTGTTCGTGGTCTCTTGTTGAATATGTCAAAGATATCTCGTATTAAATTCCATAAACTAGAAGTAACTTTTATTTTTCGTTTAGTACTAAGAGAATTTAAAGGATTTACAACAGGTATTTTACTAGCGTCAAAGTATAAGCACCAGAATAAACTAATCATTTGAATATCACCATTTGAAATATATCTCAAGAAAGAGATATAATCGAATATTGGAGGTTTAATTCTTAAAGGTAATTTGAAACCATTTTTAATAAGTTTGACCCTTTCTTCGTTATTGAGATATGATAAATATGTATCAACAAGTTTTACATGATTATTTCTATATCTATGATATGGATAATAATCATCAGGTCCATGTAATAATTCTATAGGATTTTTCCATAAGAGAGGAATCGTTATTCTACACCATTCTCGATTCACTAATGCACAAGTATAGAGCGTTTTTCTATCGTTATGGAAATCCAAAAGAAATTCATGAAGAAGAAAGGTAGGGAACGTCATTGTGAAAAAAAAATGTAAATACGATTTTCTAAATAACAGAATTTTTTTTTTCTTTTTTTTTTTTTTTTTTTCCAAGGTAGAATAACGTTCTTAGGATCGACTTAAAAAATGCCACAAGGATTTTATTCACAAAGGTACCGCTGCGGTAATTATGATAAATTCCTTATTATACAGTTATAAGAAAATCAAATGAAACTATTTGTCCATGTGATTAAATAATATATTGATAATTTATTATTTGAACCAATCAAAGTTTTAATGGATTATTGTTTTGTAATACATATTGTTACATTTTTTGTTACATCTTTTTGTTACATTTTTGTTACAGTATTACAGTTGAATATCATCGAAGATTGAAATTCGAATCTTCGAAAATGTAATGTATTAACCAGTCATCAACAACCAATCATATAGTATCATATCGCATTCAGAGATGTCGATAATGTACGGTAATTAATTATTCAGTGTTACGTAAAAATTACTTATAATAATGCATAACGACACGAATGCAAAGGATGCAAAGTCGACATAAAATTTTATCCAACACATTATTATTTATCGGTACGTACATATTATCTGTTATATATTTATTGGCAAGTACATATATCTGTTGTAAGTTAAGTGGAACGGAACTTAAGTGGATTTGGAATAAAACCGGCATTTTGGGGTTGATTTTGTCATACAAACACCTAACTCTAACCCCAATTTAACTAGGATCCACATTCCCACTTTCGACATATCGATATACATCATATCAGACGCCCGATTTGTTACGCAGATCATTTCTGTAAAATTTTTAATGAGGTCAAATTATCGACGCACCTAAAATATATGGATTAGAGGGCCCAAATTGATAATTTTTTCGAAAGTAATTTTTTTGCATAAATCAATTTATAATAAGATTAGGATCATTTTTTACTTATAATACAAAAGTTGTTGTATTAATAAAATTATGCAGTATATCTCTTTAAAATTTACAGTTTCTTATAATTTATTATAAGATTTACAATGCAAAAATTGATTTTCCGAAGATCTTTTGGTTTGTCAATTTGGACCCTTTTCTCAGCACCTAGCCCATATAATTTAGGCAAAATTTGCTTTCTAATCATAAAAAAATTGCCGGTTTAAATTTTGGGTAAAAGTTCACAAATTCTCTAGCATTTGAAGGTTCTTCTCATAAAATATTAAGGTGGTTGGGAATAAAACAAAGAATAATCTGGTCCGCAAAGTTGACCAATTTTTTTTTTTACGGAGCGAATTTTAGAGTTACCTTTTTGATGCAATTAGGGTTAGTAGGTTATATAGAATATCAAGAATGTAATTTATGCAGTATGATGATCATATATTGAATTAACTCCTATTTTGGTTAAATGATGTATATAACTTATAAACCGTAAAAATTATCCACCTTAATACGTATTTTATGAGGAGAACCTTCAAATGCTAGATAATTTGTAAATCGGCAACTTTTTTATGATTAAACAAGCCTAGAAAGCTAAATTTTACATATAAATTTTAGGTGCGTCGATAATTTGACCTCATTAAAAATGATCTGCGTGACAAATCCGTCTGATATATATTGTATATATTTTATATTATATGTATATATTTATATATTATATCGATATATATTATCTATATTTATACGTATAGATTATATATATTATATAGATTATATATTGTTACATATTATATACTGGTATTGTGTCAATTACATTATCCAACTTTCTGCATTATTCTATGACAATAAGTTGTAAATAGAAACGAAAGTTTGTAACATTAGATGAATTGGTAAATTTTAATCAAATTTAATTCCAAAGAGGAGTAAGTTAAGGTTAAAGTTAAAGTTAGGGTTATAATTAAGTTTCGTGTTAGGGTCTAGATCGAAGTCATTGTATTATACGATGTATATAACTATGTATAAGTTATGTACGTACTGTATATACTTGGGATATATACCATATAAGATATTAGATATCAAATATCAGATATCAGATACTAGATATCAAATATCAGATATGTGATAGGTTAATATGTAGAAACTAATCCTAAATTTAACAATTCCCACTCACAACATATTACATTTAAATCAATATTTCCTTTAACATATAATTATCTACAAAAATTACAAATTGCTATTCGTACTTTATCAAGTTAATATTTGAAACCACCAAAAAAAGATTCCCACCAAATAAACTGAAAAAGAAAGAAAGAAAGAAAAAAATAGAGAATTGTGTAATTGTGTAATTGTGTAATTATGTATAATTAATCTGTTCTACTACGAGGACTACCTGATTCTAAAGCATGAGTGCTTCTAGTACTACTACTACGACTAGGTCTCGGTCGCCTTTTTTCCGAAATTAATAAAGGACCACCAGGTCCATAACCACGTGCATTTTCATATCTAAATTCTTTATCAGGATTATCACCAAAATTAGTTTCAATAGTACATGGACCATTAGCACCTATAGTTGGAAACCATATATGACGGATATTTGCGAATGCATTCCCTAAAAATTGGCCATTCTTTGTGAAAAATACTTGACCAACATCTGGATTATAAGCACAACCTACTGTATCACCTACTTCACCCCACATAGGACCATATTCTCTACCACTAGGTGCGTCATTGAATTTTTTTCCATCATTTGAATGATAACCAACTGAATATATATTCCAACCTGGTAACCTATAAAATTATTAAATATTAAATGAATTAATGAATGAAAGTTAAAAAAAAAAATTTAATTAATAGACAATTAATTATTTACCTAAAATAAGGGTATGGTTTAGTCGCAAGTCCGATTGCTATAGTAGTATTCTTTACATCTGGATTTGATAAAATAGTGATTTCAAAATAATGTAATATTTGACCACTTCTTTTTTCCATAGTTTCAGGTTGTTCAAATGGAGGTTCATAAATTGTATCTCCTTCCGTTTGAGGTATAAAGAAAGGGTAATTTGTTTGTACCATGGAATCAATTCTTTTTTTAAAAGTGACGATACTTCCTTCATTGGTTATTGTAACGAATTGTTGTGATAATAAATCTTCATCAGGTACCCATTCCCAAGCTTTTGCACCACCAAGACTTTGAATATATACAACATGTTCATGAGGAGGAATTTCTTCTTGTGGAGGATGCTTTTGAGCAAATTCTTCAGCTTCATCATTTAATCTTGATTCAAATGGTGGTGGACTTGAAGGTTTAAGGAAATCATCGGTAGTAGTTGGAGAACTAGGAGTCATACGTTTTGAACCACGAATTTCTTTTTCACCACCTACTCTTTGTCTTTTTCTTTTTCTTAATACAAAAAACAAACCAAAACCGATTGATATGATTATAATAATTATTCCAACCATAATTCCTAAAATACAAAGACCACCACAAAAAGAACTTTGTACTAAATTTTCATCATTATTAATTATTTGATTTGTTGTTACATTAGTAAAAGAATCATTAACTTGTCTAGTTTGAATTAATTGATCATTTTCAACATTTCTATTTTTAATAATTGACCTCTTTCTCAAAATAGATTTGAAATTACGACGGTCGTTAATTAAACCTTGTTCAGATTGATCATATTCACAATTTACTATTGAATATCGGGATGTCGTTGTCGTCGTTACCAATATACAAAATATAAAAAAATGTTTGATATTTTTTAAAAATGGGATATAACCATTAAGAATCATTGTAAAATTATTTTTATTAGAGTAACCATCAAAAGTCTAACATTCAAAAGTTCAAATAATCAAAAGTCAAAATAATCAAAGGTCTAATAATTAAAAGTCAAAATAATCAAAAGTTAAAATAATTAAAAGTTAAAAATAATCAAAAGTCAAAATAATCAAAAGTCTAATCATTAAAGGTCTAATAATCAGGGAGTAAAATTGAAAAAAAAAAAAAATACTTCGAGGTAAAAAAATAAAAATAATAATTAATAATAAAAATAGTAAAAATAAATAAATAAAAAATTTGAATTGGAAATTAAAAAGTCGTGATTGCTTGAATCAAATCGTGTTTTTTTTCATCGAATAATAACAATTTTCCTGGATAAGCCTCAAAAGCATTGAAAAGCATGAAAAGAATGATGAATCTTTTAACCAAATAAAATAATCAGGACGTGAGTGTTACAACCATTTTTTTTTTGCTTTTTTTTTTTTTTTTTTGTAGAATTACGAAAATCAAGCAGAATTGTGACAACATTTAATTTAATCAACAATTCATCAACGTTGGATATGTGTACTAACGAAAGTGACCAAAGTGGCGCAGTGCTGATTAAACAACATTTCACTCATATGTGCAAACGTTTAAACGTAAATGCACACGAAACTACTTGAAATACTTGAAATAACATATAACAAGCAACAAATATATCAAAGCCGTGTGGCTTAACATAGTAACATAGAAAAGGTCTGATGTGGCTTACCGTTATTGGTGTCCATACTTAGATTAGCTTAAACGTAGACCCATCAATGTTAAACTTAATACTGGCGTCGAAAGAACGAACGCGAAGACTATGATAGTTGTTGGCATATTTTGATTGGACCAGTAAGTTAAGGTTAATGGCTTATCGTTATCATTATTGCTGTTTACTTTATAAAGTATTTACTTTAACAAGTATTCACTTTAAAAAGTATTTACATTAAAAAGTATTTACATTAACAAGTATTCACTTTAACAAGTATTCACGTGAAACAACAAAAGTTTATGTGTTTCGTTAAAAAAGGTAACACTAATACAATAAATGTGTGACACTGTCATTTATTCACGTAAATGAAAACGCGGTGGTGATCGAATTAATAACGTAATGTAAATCGTTGAAACTGACACATATTGATATGTAGGTACGTATTTGTTTAATATTTGATATTTTTTTTAATATTTCAATGTGTGGAATAAAACCATACGCATTGTTGAGATCATACGTGCTTGATCTTGTAACAAAATAATAAAACGAATTCTTTTTCAGGTAACAGAAAATAAATTGATCTACATTAAGGTAGAAGATCAATACTATTCTATGCTTTCTCCGAAGTGATCACCAAACACGTTTACAAAAAAAAAAACCAACCTGGCTAATTATGTTTCCTCATTTATTATAATTATTATTATTCCTATTATTATTCCTATTATTATTATTATTATTATTATTCCTATTAATAATAATAATAATATTATTATTATTATTACGTATTGATTTTTTTTTTACCAAAGATTTTATGCCAAGATCTTTAATGATCATAGAGGTATCATCAATGACTCATCATTACTTTACAAGAAAATTCGTTCACCAATGAATGAATGAATGAATTTAATAATATTGGGGTTTTTTTTTTTTTTTTGTGTTGACAGCATTGGACACATGTGTGCGAATACTATGTACATACGTATGTATCTGCGTATATCGATATTGCCTTGATATTATATCGATATTGATATATTCATATGTTTATTTCTCAAGTTCAATTGCCCGTAATATAAACTTACTATATATGTAAAGTGTCCATTCACTTCAAAAGAAAACCTGTTGTGAACCAATCGACATATAAGATCGTAAGATCTATCTAATCGGATAACTACGTATAGTAATAATAATGAATTATTTTTCAGTTCGTTTTCATACGTAGTGTGCGTAATGTGTGACAATTATAGCCACCATACGCCGCCATATTAATATTAATACGTATAGTTGTCACTAAATAAAGCCACAAACATCTTAATTTCATTATTGTTATGTTAATATTAATGTTAACGTTAATACGTATATATTTTCAACGTTACCGTTATTGTTAAGTTATTTTCCCTACAACAATTGCAACAATTACAATAATTTAGAGATATGAATACACGAATTGTATTCATATCATATGTTACAAGTTGAAAAGGAACTAATTTTAATATTAATATTAGAGTTAGCGGTTTCTATTTACAGAATAATTATGGCCATTGAGGATCAGAATTACGTACGATTTTCAGCATAATTAACTGTTAAAGCAAGTATAATTTGAATTTACCCCAGAGAATATGATTAACCGAAATGTAATATTATTAAATTATGTAGTGTGATCTACTGATTAGTAATCTTTGATCTCTGAACTAACAAAAAACATTACATAATGAACACAAAAATGATCAAAGGGTCGTCGCATGTGTGAAATCATTGCGTAGTGAACACTACTAGTGTGAGAAGCAACAAACATTAGCATGAATATTCAGCCGTGAAACAAGAAAATGAATAATAAAAAAATGTTAATACTGTTATGTAATATACTGTTAATCTCCTAATTATAAATGAGAAAATTTTGTTAATAAATAAATCTTGCAGTTATGTATCGATACCACTAACGCTAAAGTATGCCAAATTTTAGAATAGGCATAAACCAGTAATAATATCGACAAAAATTAAATCTGGTTTAAACAACAGGAGGAACCGTCGATGTTACACGACTGATTCTTCACCCAGTGTGCAACATATAAAAAAATCATTTTACAATACCAGATCATTCCGTTAGTACATGTTATGATTATAATCCCACACCATTTTATTATAATAAAAATGGTGTGGGATTATAATCATAACATGTACTAGTGGAATGATCTGTTATTGTAAAATGATTTTTTTATATGTTGCACACTGGGTGAAGAATCAGTCGTGTAACATCGACGGTTCCTCCTGTTGGTTTAAACCAATGTTTTAATGATGCGCGAAAATTTCGACTTATCGTTATTACATATACGTACTGTAAGTATGTATGATTTACAGTTTCATTTGTGTGACAACCGCAATGTTACACCAATAACGATACTGTATTCAACTTAGAAAATTACATTTATGTGCATATACTATCGTTATACTATTAATACTATGACTGTATGAGAACATAACATATGAACTGTCGAATTAACTAATTTGTTTATAAATAATTTCTATCGTCATTGAATTAAAATTATTGCGTTATTACAAAATTTTGTGACCCCCCCGATTATTAAAATGATGATCGTAATTGCGATTGCTAAAGTTTTAGATTTATAATAAATTGACCAGCTTTGGCGAATTTTGCAAAGCGCAATAATGAAAAAAATGAATTAATATTCGAATCTAATATTCGAATTTGATTTCTGGTTTAACAATTCGAAAATTCGACTCTAATCGATTATAAAATTCGGTTAGTCATAAACTTCAATTAGTCAACTTAAATTCAATCAGTAAATTTCAATTAGTAAACTTCAATTCTTTAATAAACAGTAAATACATAGTATATAATAAGAATATATTTAACAAGTGACAAAATAAAATTTGTTGTGTTAATGATTTAAAGTGTTGACTACATATTTTAAATAATGCATACATGTTCATGAATGAATGAATGAATGAATTGAATTGAATTGTAAAAATTTATGAATGTTAAAAATTTGAATGTAAACGCCCGTATCCATCTAACAATATAGTTTTATCTCGTGTATAAGAAAAAAAAAACTTATTGATATCGATTATTCATGTTAAATGTTGTACAAATAAAAAAATATTTTACATGAAAAGCTAACTCATATTAACACTAAGCATTTTGAGATCCCATTACTGCTGGAATAGCTATCATATCAACACCTATTAATTACAATAAGATTTTAAATTATAATTCTTTACTATTAAAATCATATATGCGTTATAAATACATTTATTAAATACCTTTTAAATCTTTTCTAACCCATGGTTGTGGCCCAAGAAGATTTTTATTTTCACGAGTGTCATCTAAAAAAAGATTAACGTTTGTTAACTTTAAAAAAATATTGAATAGATAAACGCACATGATAATTTATTTAAATTTAAATAGTTTATTTAGATAATTTATAACAGTAAACATACCTTGGAATTCCCATAAATCGAGGTATTCACCAATCTTTTGATACCGAAGGTATCTACTAGTATAAACAGCTTTAGGATGTGTCATTTTCTTTTTCTCATCTTTAAATTTCTCTAATAAATCCTCATTAACTTTTAAAGTTGTGGTAAGACACCATTTTTTCCAAAAATCAATAATTTCCCTAATTTCAATAGCTGTAGGACGTTTTGAAGGTTCTGAATCCCAACAACGTGTCATCAATTTTACATAAGCTTCTGGCATATGTGCAAGTATTTCTGGTCGTTCTCCACGCATAATATCAATAACTAAATTTTCATCATGTGCTCGATCATAAAAAGGTTGTCTTTTCGATGATATTTCCCACATTATCATTCCAAAACTATAAATATCTGATGCTTGTGTATAAGGTTTTCCGCATAACACTTCGGGTGCCATATATGGAATAACTCCGTGGATTCCTTCTATGGTTCCTGAAGGTGTAGAATCCACTGCTTGGCATAATCCAAGATCTCCAATACATGAATATCTCTTAAAACTGAATGCTTGTCCATGTATTAATATATTTCCTGAATGTAAATCTCGGTGAACTAATCCTTCTTGATGAATAATAGTAAGTCCCTTAATAATACCGTACATTATTTCAATAATTGTTTCGCTCCACCATCTATTGTCTTGTGAATCACTCTGTTCGTTACAAAAGTTTCTTAAGTCTCCTAATTCTGCATGTTGCGTAACCATCATGAACTCTTCAGTATCTCGATCTTTAGTTATCCCGTAAGCCTTAATGACATAATTCCGCGCAGACGTAATAGAGCTACACTTCATATACGCTGCTAACTGTAAAAAATATTTATTATTATTATTATTATTATATATTTAACGCAAACGATGATACGTATATTTACCTCTTGGAGGAATTTTGCGGAAATCTCTTTAGTGTCATTAAGCCGTTTGAGTACAACATTAGTGGTTCCAAACTCATTAGTCCAAACTGCTGTATAAATGGTTCCATGACCTCCTTTGGCCAAAATCTCAACCTTCGAAAGTTGATCAAATGGTATCCATTTTAAGGACTCGTATTGATTTGGTGCACTTTGTTGAATTTCTCTAATAAATTCATCAACATTTTCATCTCCACTTGTCCATGCTTCCGTTGTTTCATTTTCAGTCGTTTTATGACTTCTACGTTTTGGGCACCAATGGTATAAAGTTTTTGGTTGATTGCATTGAGGACAAAGTGGACATTGAGAGTCTTGACTTAATAATTCCATTTTTTTATATGTAAATAAACTTTGTTTATACAAAAAAAAAATATATATATATAGTTTGTGTTTTTAATTCGAATGATTTTGTTTTATAAAATGAAAACTTGATTGATTGATTGATTGTTATTGATGGCATGGCATTGCGATGCCTCTTTTATATCTGAATTTATTTATTTGCATTTGTCATAATTTCAGATACCTATGATCTTCTTTTCATAAAAAAACAAATGCAGGTTAATTTTTCACCCAGAAAGGTACATATGTATATTACGTTATGTATTTTCTTACTTTATATGTTCTATATACAATCATTTATGACATCACTAAGATCACAAGATAAGAATTCTTGGAATACAAAAAATAATAATCAAGCAAATCTATACGTAATCTTATTTCCCAAATCATTCAGTATTCCAATGAAAGAAAAAAAATCTTTATCTATGAATAATTCCTGTAAAATCTATTATTAAGAAGAATCCCCTTGCAGATCACATATATGGTTGATACATTCACATGTAAATATTTAATCCAAAAAACTTCAATCAATAGACTTGACGAAGATGGATCTTCGATACATTTCATAATATTCAACCTATTACTGTTATCTGTTATGTACCTGCATGATTAATCGTAATTCGTGCAAAATTGCTTACACATGTTAACGTTAAATTACTAAAAAGGTTTAGTTTAATGCATTCTATAAAAGTAATAATCTACAAAAGTTTCGGAGAATCAAATAGCGATAAGCAACCCCGTGATATTACGTGAACTATGGCTTTAAACGATAATAGTTTTTTTTTTTCTTTTTTGTGTTGAGATTCACTTCATGGGATTCGGTTTCCGGAAAATCTGTTTCCATTAATTACTTCTATTACTTCTATTACTTCTAGAACACATAGATTACGTATTTCTTTTTTAAGATCCGCAAGATCATATGGGTTCTTTCACAGCAAATCGGGGCTTAGAGGCGATTTTTTAATTTGTAGATATCAACGATTAATCATTTTGGTAATTGTGATAAATTTAGATATTTGCGTGTAACATAGTTCATGTACGTACATACGTACGAATTGCGTTATACCTAATTTCGATATGTATATCAAATTACCATTGTTGATATAATTTTAACGGGTTTAGTAATAGCGATAGAAAATTTAAACTATTCTAACGTTAACAGTAATTAAATATTAGCGAATTAAGCCCAAAAGCTTAAAGAATTGAATTTCTTGATAATTTAGCACGGGTTTAGTAATAGCGATAGCGATAGAAAATTTAAATTATTCTAACGCTAATAGTAATTAAATATTAGCGAATTAAGCCTAAAAGCTTAAAGAATTGAAATTCTTTGAATCGTATTAGTAAAGTAGTAACGCTAATAGTAATTAAATATTAATGAACTAAGTTTGAAAGGTTAAAAATTGTATTTTGGTAATTTAGTCTAACGTTAATAAAATTTTAATCGCTGAAATTTAAATGTACAAAATTTTAATAAACTTTTATGAAACTCAATTTGAACGAAAAAAATTATAAATTATGTCATAAATTGTAACGATTGATCTAATTTTTTATTTCGTCAGTATGATAAATTCTGAGAATTCAAACACAAATTTACACGAAGACTTAACTTTTGAACAAAATAACCTTGTTCCTTCTTTTGCCGAATTAAACTTAGAAGAATTTGATGAAACGGATGATCTTATTTGTCAGCGTGTTCAAGAATTATGGGAATTCTGGCAAAAAAACGAATGTACCTGTAGGAAAAGTAAAAAGAAAACTAAGTCATGTTTTGAAAAAATAGGATTTAGTCAGTTCTTTAAACGACAAGAAGAATGTCATAATATGACTCATAATAATTTAGATATATGGATTAAAGGACAACTTGCATCATTTGCATTTAATGATGAATCATCTAAACAAAAAAATTCCCAAGAATTAAATAATTCTACAGCAAATAATCGTGTAAAATATCGATACCATTATAATGCTCAACATATTGTCTGCTTACCTACCTATTTAGCATTAATTGGAATTTCCTCTTCAAGGCTTGATCGAATCAAAGCACATATCAAAAGTAATGGAATGGCAGAAATATTTCATGGCAACACAGGACGTGCATCTACTAGACCTAATCGTGCTATTATTGATGATCAAGCAAAACAAGAATTAAATAATTTTCTTCGAAATTATGCTAATATTCATGGATATCCATCACCAGGCCGATATATACGAAAAAGTACTATGCCTATTATTTCACTTCCAACGGATACAACATATACTGATGTATATGAAGAATATGTAACAACAATTAAATCTATTAAAGGTGAAGATTATAAAGCTATGGCCCTTTCAACATTTTATCAAATTTGGAACGAAATTGCACCTGATATTCGGTTCTTGTCTAAAGCGTCTGATTTGTGTGACAAATGTGAACAACTTCGTGCTAGTATTCATACTACAAATAATATTGAAATTAAACAAAAATTTCTAACAGAATATAACCTTCATCGGGCAGCTGCAACAATTGAACACGAGTACTATAATAAAAATATTGAAATTAGTAAACAAGCAAGGTTTAATACTTTACATATTTGCTATGATTGGGCTCAAAATGTACCAATTCCCTACTTACCATGGCAACCAGAAGGTTTATTTTTTAAATCCCCATTCAATGTTCATGTCTTTGGAATTACCAACACTAGTTTGGAGCCTACAACTCAACAGAATTATTTAATTGGTGAACATCAATTACCAGCAAAAACACCTAAAGGTGCCAATACTACTCTTAATCTCGTATTTGATAGTTTGTCTAATTGGAATTCATCACAAAAATATCTTAAAGTTACCTGTGATAACTGTGAAGGTCAAAACAAAAACAATCTTTCTTTGTGGTTTTATTCATGGCTTACTATGACTAAATGTTTTGAAATGGTTGAGGTTAACTTCATGATTCCTGGCCATACTAAATTCTTATGTGATGCATATTTTGGAACAATTAAATCTCTTTATCGCAAATCTACTGTTATGAGCATGGATCACGTTGAAACTATTGTTAATAAATCAAAAAATGATAGAAGTAATATAGCAGTTAGGTATGATAGAAAAAATCATATAGGATGGAGTTACTATGATTTTGAAACATTTTTTAAACCCTACTTTGTAAAATGTGATGGTATACGAACATATCATCATTTTTATTTTTATTGGAATCAACCTGGAAAAGTTTTTATGTCATTAGATCCTAATGGATCAAAAAAAAAAGCTGTGATTCGTAATAATCTTTCTTTTGATCCATACAAACCTTTAGACACAGTTTCTTTAAAATCTTTAACTTTAAAACGTCAAACACAATTATTTAAAGATATTCATCTGTATATACATGATCTATATAAAGATGAACTATGTTTTGCTCCGAATAAAAATAATAAAGATTCAGATTAAATACTATTACCAGTATATAAATGTCAACTAATAATTCGTCAGTTTCTTTAATCAAATATTGTAATAATTGAACTTTTAAAATTACATAATTCATAAAATGTATTATACCAAAAATATCTCTGCTTTCATGTAATAAGTTTAAGCTTATCAGTTATAAAGATTGTAAGATACGTATTATAATTATATCCTTTCAATTAATCAACCTTGAAATTATAGCTTTATTCATACTGAAAATATTCTTTACAAAAATAAAAAAATAAACCAATTAGTAAATAGTCCGAAGATATAAAGTCATTAAATGGAGCTTACGAAAATTTTACTGAAACCTGAATCTAAAAAGGTACCTGAAAGCAAATATATGGATTTTTAATTTTATACCATAGCCGATTACACTTACTGACTTGAAATACTATAATAAAGAATTTTAAAATAGGTTTAGAAAAGTCTATACAATATTAAATAACTTGTACGTAGCACTAGTAGCTTGTACTAATTTTGCTTAATACATGTATACTTTTTTTTTATTTTATTTAATCAACTACTGTTTTTTACCACTTTGTGTCTTGAGCCGCCACAGCATTAAAAGACTATTAAAAGGGTTATAATGTACGTGATCATGTGGTAATGCATAAGTAATAATGGATCATGCAGTAATCTAAAATTAGATCGAAGATCGGACGTATGTAAAAATTACTGCGTATAGAACTGTATAAAATGATAATAAGTCAATGTGTGCTGAAATTTTACTACGAATCCACCTCACATTTGCGGATACAATCCAATAAAAATCTCAATTTCCGTTAGATCGTCTCTAAGCCCCGATTTGCTGTGAAAGAACCCATATAGTATAATTTCTCCGTAAAAAAAAAAATTGTTTCATTCAATGACAAAAGCACATTTTACGTATCAATGATTAACTTTATACTATTTGGTTATATTGGGAATAATCACTGTAGGATCAAATTTGTGAGGGCTGAATCCAATAAGGTAAACAATTATTAATCATTTTTACTCTCATAATAATTTTTGATATATAAATAGTAATAATATAGAAAGATTTCTTTTTATAAAATATGAGCAAAGCAAATATAATTAAAAATATTAAATTACAAGTTTACTAAAATGCATCTATGGTGCTGAACACCATAAGTGCTATTTGTCAAAAACATACTAAGTAAATGGGATCGGGTACTCTAAGTAAAAATGTTTAGGACCCATGAAAACCTCACGAGAACTGAAATCGGGACCTTATATATAATCTACATTATAATATATAAAACTCTCCTTTATTCTAAAACTGCACCCTAATCCTAAATTTTATTAATAAAATTTTGTATGGTGTTCAACACCATAAGCGCATTTTATAATTTTTGTTAAATTAAATTCCAAATTATTCTAAATATCAAAATTAATGTAATATATTCTGTTTAAAACTTTTTAAATAAATTTAATACGTATTATTGAGTCTAATTAGGTTTTAAAAATAAATTAATTTTGAATTAATTTTATTTAAAGTTACATTTAGGTAAACAAAGATTACACATAATATATATAATAAAATGATATAAAAATACTTTTTATTAAGATATAAAAGTCGATTTTATAGGCATACCGTATTTGCGCGTAATAATACACAAGGGTGTAATTTCGAATTTCGGAATAACGCCTGGTTAGCTATTACGCGCAAATACAACAACCTTAGGATCAACTATAAAAAATTCGGAAAATTTGGTTGATGTTACTTGTAAATAAAATGATGATAAAATTGAAATCTATTAAAATTGTTTTTACAGTAATCGTAGCGGATCCGGTTCATTTCACCGATAGTACGTTTCACTGACAAGTTTTATTTATAAATTACACTAACTTCAACTCTAATCCTAACTTGACCCTAAAGATAATGACCAGAATTACTTTGTCAATGTCGGTAAAATGTGTCGGTGAATCATGCTGGAATTGCACTCGGAAAATGTGTACCAGGTTTGTGACGCAGATGAAATTCTTAAAATTCGTTTAAGGTTAAGGTTAGGGTTAGGAGTTAAAGGAGAGTAATTTAGATAGTAAAATTGTCCAACGAAAACTTTTTGTTAAAGAATAAAAGGTGGATTCTTATGCTTATTTTTGAGTTATGCTCGATTTTTTGCCGAACGAACTTTGTTTTGATCGTGTTACGTTACATCTAATCTTGAAATCTGATTCGTAGTTCAGGCGCCCAGGAACAGTAATTTTATGCGGTAACAAATTGCAAATTATGCAGTGTTAAAAATTCAATTATGCGATGTGATGTGAATAAATTTTGAGGATTATGTGCAATTATGTGAACTAGATAGCCAATTATGTGTGATTATGTGATACTAGATAGCCAATTATGTGCGATTATGTGATACTAGATAGTCAATTATGTGCGATTATATGATAACATATAACTGAATTCATAATATAAATTTTATTAAAGAATTCTAATAAAATATAACATTAATAAATTTTTTAATGATTTTTTAAACAAGTTTTGTCTATTGTTATCTGTAGTTTTTCTTTTAATCACAGTATTAACCTATAGTTTTTTTTTTAATTACAGTAATATCAGAAGCTGCTCAACTATAGTATGATGACTATAACTTGACAGATTCTATACAAAAGTCTATATAAGACTTAACACAATACAGAGTGATTTGGGATTTTAAGACAAAGACAACAATAAATAATATATGAAGATACTAAATATTGCATTCAGTTTATTAACTATAAAATATATAAAGACACTTCCTATTGAAGTGTATGAAGACACTTCATATTGAAATATATGAAGACACTTATTATTGAAGTGTATGAAGATACCTAATTTTCTTGAAGAGTCAGAAAGTAATGCTTTTATAGATATTTTATATGTATAAATTATTATAATAAAGACTATTCTATTGCTAATAAATGTTATTTATAGTAATAAGAACTAATAGATATAATAGAAATAATATATATAACAGATATAGTAAATATAATAGAAATGATAGATCTGTTAAAAATAATAGATCTAATAGAAATATAATATCTGTAATATCTGTAAGATCTGTAAGATCTATAAGAAATGTAAGATTTCTGGCATAATAATTTAAGCCAATTAGAATCAAGTCACATATATTATAATTAGTGCTTTTCATTAAAATCATCCTGCTCTTGTGATCCTGTAATCAGAATTACATGATCTTGTACTCATTAGAATCGTCTCAATGAGCTGAATTCAACAGTGATTGTTTCATCCAATTTGGTTTGGTACATCAAAAGTTATGGTCAAAAATATGTAAAACTCTTAATGTTAACAACAGTAATAATAGAAGTTATTTAACTATAATATGACAACTATAACTTAATAGATTCTATACAAAGTTTATATAAGACTTAACAAAATACAGAATGATTTGGGATTTTAAGGCAAAGACAATAATAGATAATATATAAAGATATTAAATATTGCATTCAATTTATTTATTATTGAAATGTATAAAGACACTTAATTTTCTTAAAGGATCAGAAAGCAATACTTTTATAGATATTTTACATGTATAAATAATTACAATAAAGTCAAGTTATCTCAATAGAATATGCTAAATATAGTAAATATATGATAAGAAATATTAAAAATATAAAAAATATATATATATATATATATATTTATTTATTTATTTCTCTTTACTATCCTAAAGGTCTTTAGATATTTTTAGAATTAGTCATATTTCTTAAAAATCAGAGTTATTATTCTGCAAAGATTATTGGACACCATGTGATTCTTGTATATCATTGAGTTTGTGAGATAATTCATGCTTCATCAAATCTGTTATATAACATCTTAGGTTTTTGGTCTTATGGTATAAAACCTACTATCTTTTTCAGTCTGCAGTTCTTTAATTTTACATGACCTACTAACCAGAACATCTGTATATTTCAAAGTTTTTAATTTTATTATTATATATTCTTAAATCAGGTTTTCTTAATATTAGCATTATTTATTGATAGATTATATCTTACCTGGTTATTCCCAACCCTGTAACTATGCCAGTGACTGCATTTTTTTTGTATAAATCTTGTTCTTACTTTTAAATAGAAGTTTTTTGCAGATCTTTTTTCTAATTATAATCCTGACAAAGTTGTTGTCATCCTTTGAACTCAAACTTCATGACCTTGTGATTAAGACCTAAGAATACTAATTACTGTGCTATTGACCTACAAATCTAAAAAATATATTTTATATATTATATATAAGAGATATTATATATATAAAAGAAATCTAATAAATAATATATATATGATATATTTGAAAAATTCAATATATATGATATCTATATTATTTGAGAAATTTAAGAGATTTAGAATTTAGCTAATTTAACTATTTATATCCAAATCACATGTACTAAAATTAATATTTCATCAAAATCATCTTAATCTTGTAATCCTATAATCAGAATTACATGATTTTGTATTCATTAGAACTATCTCAATGAGCTAAATTCAATAATAGTTGTTTCATCCAAATTGGTTTAATACATTAAAAGTTATGATCAAAAATGTATAAACTTTTAATATTAATATTCTTCTCTACTTAGTTTTTGAGCTTTATAAAGTTTTAGAGTAGGGTATAATAATTAACAGTAGACAAACCATTAATCTTAAAGAGTATTATATTAGTGATTCAAAAAATTTGTTTAATTCTAAAACTTTCAAAAATATTATAAACTCTAACAAAGACTTTATAATAATAAGTAGAGACTTTTTATCATAATATTCTTCATTCTAGAGAATTTTCTTTTATTAGTTTACCTAAATAATAGCTATAGGCTAGCTGTGTTTTTCTTATATAAGGTTGGATTCTAAGTAACTTGTTTCAAATTTTTACAATTTGGACTTGTAAACTTAAAATTAAATTAATTGTTTTTGGTATTGTATTGGAATACAAAGGTATAGTGCTAAGAAGGTCAACAAGAATCTTATTAAAATTATTGTTTATT